GATCTTGGGTGACGTGGCGAAACAATCCTGGTGGCTTAGAGCAGTTTCCGCAGCCTTTCGTGTCTTTCCAGAGGCAATGCTGGATTCACGTTAAAGAACACGTCATGTGTATGAGGATGGAGTGCGTCGTCGATCGTGAGTACATCGCTTATGTCTGGGATGGTCTCGAATATTGCCACAGTGGTGCCCTTTGCAAGATGACGATATTCCGAGCAGAAATTAGTGATTGGTACACTGACGGTTCCTTCAACGATGTGAACGATTTCTCTGGCAATAGCCAAACCTTTTTCAAAGAGCAAACTCTGGTTGGCCTCGACCAAACCTTCCGCGTAGATGCAGCTGTCAGCACCCACGGGGATGACAGCACTCGAGCGTGGTGGCAATGTGACGTGCTCGTCGAGAATCATTAGCACCGCTGATAATGCAGGACTTGGATTTCGCGTGACGCCCGTATCTGGTGACAGGATGATTGTTTGCGCTCAAAGATCTATGATTGTTTTGTTTGCCGGAAGGAAGTCCGCACTGAGAATGACGTTCCGAGAGCACTGGTCCAGGACGACGAAAAAAGTAGAGTACGTATGCCCTTCCACATCCACACGAGCTGTGCATCTTCTCTTTGGTGTTATGACGTGACCGCCTGCTGTTCGTACCTGCGGGCCTTCCCACGAAGTCAGCACCTTCTTCAACTGATCGGCGAACACCGCACTCATGATGGAGAAGTCAGCACTGGTAACAACCAACGCAAGTACGTCCCGGTTGTCGATTTTCACTGCCAGATCGGTCGATTTTACCTTGGCGTTGCAGGTCTGTCGTGGTGTACTGTTGCGGCTTGGACGGAACTTAGTGCTGATATGTCGCTCGTGTCTCTCACACGCTGCAAGTAGTGTTGCTCCACTGGGACTTTCGGGCGGAGGAGGGTCTTCAGGGGTGCGCCGGGCAGCAACCACGGCATTGGTTGCCGTCTTTAGTTTCCCAAATGAGGGCTAGGGGACCTTCCCCGTAATGCTCCTGTGTTGGCAGGGTGTGACGATGGGTAACGGCGAGACGAAGGCGATGGTGACCTGCAGTGGCCCGCTGGCGAACTTTGTCACTGCAAATAGCCTTCAATCTCAGCTGGCCTTTGACCAGGTTGCGGACGTGAAGCGCCGACGTGAAATCCACGAATTCCGAGGTTCCTATAGAAACAGCTACGGTACAAGTGGCCAAGTTCACCGCAGTGGAAACACAGCAAGTGATGGTCGTCAGTCCTCCCTCCACACGTCGGACTTTCTAGGGACGGCTCTTTCGGCAGGAGGTCGGTAGACATTTGGTTGTGGGCGTGGCGGTGGAGAGTACGTCGGTTGGGCGGGGCGCACCGGGTTGCGCACGGCCGCGGCATATGACATGATTTGCGGTCCTCGTGGAGCCCACTCAGGCTCCTGGCTCGGTGGAACTAATGGTCCGGTCCCGAGCGCCCGCTGAACTTCTTGTCTGACGACATCGCTCAACGTCGCGACTTGAGGACAAGAACTCGGGAACATCTTCCGTAGTTCCTCTTGCACAACAGCCTTTATGGTGTCCCGAAGGTTGCTGACGGTTACAGCATTAAGCTCGGCCGGCGACCTACCGCCTACCAGAGCAGGGCGTCCATACTGTCTCCGCCGCACATCGAGAATCTTTTCCATGGCGGCTGCTTCCGTTACAAATTGGGAGACAGTTTGCGGTGGATTGCGCATTAATCCAGCAAAAAGTTCTTCCTTCACTCCTCTGATAAGGAATCAGAGGTTTTTTTCCTCTGGCATTTCCGGATCTGCTCGACCAAATAGATTTCTTCGACGAAGACAGCGACGCTCTCATTAAGGAGCTGAAAGCGTGAATTCAGCTGCCTCTCCGCCCGTTCCTTGCGAGAGACACTTGAAAACGTCCGAAGAAGGCTGCCTTTGAAATCCTCCCACGTCCTAAGCACGGATTCGTGGTTGATAAACCAGGTACGCGCAGACTGTTCCAGTGTAAAGTAGACCCACTGTAACTTCGCTTCATCATTCCACTTGTTGATGGCCGCCACGCGCTCGAACTGTTCCAGCCAGTCTTCGGGGTCGTCGCACGGTGTTCCGCGGAATTTAGGGCGTTCACAGGGTTGCTGCAATACAACGGCTGTTGGCAACTGGGCTTCACTCATCTTGACATGCCTGGCTTCTTTCGTAGCGGGTGGTTTTCCTGGAAGGAGGCCGTGCTCAGGGAGAAGTCCTAGCTGTCGGCGGCTTCTTCTCAGGTCGTCTTCTTTTGCTTGGTGAGGACTGGTGTCATGGCTGCACGAGGGGTTACTGAACATACCCAGCACCTCCACCAGATGTCACGTGCATCGTCGTCACTGAAATCCACGTAAGACGAGGGTGCGGCAGACAAGGTTTATTAGTAAGGAGGCGTACTTGTGCCTCTCGCTTAGGACACAAAAGGAACACTAGCAGGATCGAAGCGGCGTGCCCATGCACAGCTGCCATTCCACCAAAGAACAACCCACAGCTTACGCGCTGCCAGTTATTTAAGTGCTGAGAAGACAACACAGAACATGCGCACACCTATCATCAGATGCTGCAGTGTCTGATACGATGGGCCCATCGAAAGTTAATCGCAGCCCGCTCTAGCCTATCTAAATGACGCGACGGCTGTCGCTCTATAGTGGCAGCTGCGCAGAACGGCATGGCACATGGCAGTATTCAAGGCCTAAATGAAAGCACCTCAGGCCTCAGAAATCATTACAAGCAATAACATAATGATTCGCAGGCAGCATAACAAAGAACAATGTGTAAACTGCAAGTTACTCCACTTTATTTTGCATGAAAGTAGTTCAAAAATCTGTCTTGTGTTTCGCACCCTGTCAAGTTCCAGTCATCCTCAATATCATTAAAGCTTTTCATATAAGCTAATTAAGCTTTTTGGTTACAACAGCGTTGATTGACGCAGAATGCCAATGTAATCTTTGTAGCACAGCCAAACGATGGTTAGCGACAGCAGCGAAGGCGTTGGCATATTCATAATTGCACGGGTACATTTTCGCGGCACCGGCAATGGCAGCCTATGGGGTCTAGAAATAGACAACACACTCTCGGAGTGAACGGACACAGCAGACACAGTCGAACCGAAACAAACACAGTCGGACCGAAACAAACAACACGCATTTATTTAACTGCTTTAAGGAGGACGATACCGTCAGCCGAATCAATACATACTATTTATCAACACACTAAATCAACCTAACACAATATTCCACACCACTTAACAACATAACAAACAAAAGGTGGCATCACCAACGGTCGACTCACCATGAAGAATCGCGATCAACAACCCACGGTGAGGCACTCTGGGACCACCGCATCAGACGACTGCTCCTTCCAGCCGCGACATGCCCAAAAGGACCACTCATCTCTCATGTGCCATCGGCCAGGCTTGCCGCCAGGCGTCACTGCTGGTGCTACCGTTCTAACCATGATGATAATGATGACGGTCATAAACGCTCGCGAGCAAAATGCCACTTACCACTCGATAGTTGTGAACCCTAACTGTCGCCTATGCGCGAAACATGTGTGCGCCCCGTAACGCAAACGAATTTACAGGAGGTATTCATGACATTTTCAAGCTCAGCTACACAAGCCATCGCAAGACCCCGGCATATCATCCGCAGAGCAACGGCTTGACAGAGCGACTCAACAAGACCATTGCTGACATGTTATCTATGTACATAGATGTCCAGCATAGGACCTGGGACCAGGTGCTATCGTACGTCACATTCGCGTACAATACTGCCATCCAGGAAACTACGCGATTCACGCCTTTCCGTCTTCTCTATGAACGTGAGGTCCAGACCATGCTGCATGCGATGGTTCCACACAATTGCGACGCTTCTATCCCCCCTATCGCTGTGCAGCTTACCCAGTACGCCGAAGAAGCACGCCAGTTAGCACATCTACACATTACGCACCAGCAAAGTACAGACGCATGCCGCTACAACGCTCGCCATCGACAAGTCGAATACCATCCAGGCGATCAAGTTTGTGTGTAGACTCCAGTCCGACGCAAGAGATTGTCAGAAAAACTGATCAGTCACCACTTCGAACTGTGCAAAGTGCTGCGACGCGTGAGCGATGTGAACTACGAGGTAGTCCCTGACGGCGCCCTCTCGCCACGGCGGCGAAGGCACTCCGCCGAGATTGTGCACGTGGTGCGACTGAAGTCGTACTTCACGCAGTAGTGTCACTGCGCATGAACCTTATTGCTGTTTTTGTGTGTGCCTGTATTTTCTGTTGGTTTGCCTCGACTTTGCCTTTGTACTTTCTGAGTATCAAAGTGATGCCCCCCCCCCCCCCCTTTTTTTCAGAGAGGGAATAATGACACTTGGCCACTAGGTACAGCGAGCGCAAGCTATGGCTGCCCGATAGAATGGAAGACGATGTTCTCTCTGGCTAGTTGTTGTTTATTGAAGCAGCCATCTTGCCAGTTTTCGGTGGGTCTCCCCGCCGGCTCAGTTCTTCCGAGTTGAAGACCTTTTGTAATACGTGACAATATAGCCAATAATTCTATATATCCAATTTTGATATATGCGGCATCAACTGTGCTGGGATTGAAGCTTGGACTAGTTACGAAAACAGCACTGTTATCGTGCCTTCTTCATGTTGTGTATTCTGTCTAAATTTTCCACTGTTTTGTCCCTCTCATAAAGATTAGCTTTGCAGGGCATCGACCCCACCATATCTCTTGTTCTAATTTTGCCATGACTTACTGTACACTTTCATGTATGGCAGAACCTCAAGGTCCCACAAATTGACACAGAACTTGGAAGGATAAATGTTACTCCCTGTGATAAACATGTATTCAGCGCGTTGAGCAGGCGTGCATTAGAACAAGTTGTACACGACCTGTCATAAATGCCTTCTTATCTCCCTCGACCATGAATAAACAAAACCAAGTCTTGCATTGTTTGTCCTGGTAGTCCCAAATTGAAATCAACACCTTTCAGTACTCACTTGGAAAGAAGAGAGGGCCAGGTGGCCCGGCCTGTCCCCAGGGCAGATGGCCACAAGGGGTGAGAGAAGGAGCTGCAATTGGCTCTCCCGGTGGCTCTTGCTGATCTCAAGCTGGAGCCGTTCCAGGTACAATGATGGGCACGGAGGCTCCTGCTCACTGCAGCCCTGCATTACATGCATGTACACAGCTTACACCATGCCAGCGTTAGTGTGATTTGCAGTGGACACAAGATCTGCTAAACTCGAACTGCCTAAGAAGCACTCTTCTGTTCAAGGGGCCCTGCAACACTTTTGCAAGTAGCCGTGAAATGGACTGACTAAAAGAGAGCCTATTGCCTCACAAAGACATAACTGCAAAAACATTTAAAATCCATCCAGTACGAGCGGAATTATAAAGATTTGTCACACGCTGCAACTGCATTGTCTTTTCTCTCGTCCTGACGAAAGCACTAGAAGGTAAGCAGGAAGGTTTCACTTTTTTCTTCGAATATCCAGCTTTCCAGTGCAATCGCACATGCACGTGCCACATGCTTCTGCTGTGGTTTAAGTAACAACCAGTGCCCCATGCTCAAATCAACCAAAAGATGATACAGTGACTGTGACGAGTGATTTTTGAGCTTGTATTGTCACTTGTTTAAAAAAAAACAAAGCAGTTTCTTGCTGAATGAAAACTTATCATAAATTCCAGGCTGCTGTGCAATAATATTTGGCTCACATTTTCTCAAAAGCCTAAACTACCATTAGCAGAGCTTTATGATCTTGCTCAGAAAGTGTTGCACAGCCCCTTTAAAACAAACTTCCCCATTTAACGACAACGCTGCAGATTCTGCAAATCGAAGATTGCAGTCTTAGCAGGGCTTTCAGGCAAGCATGAAAAGAAATAACGAAAAAAAAAAACAAAGGAAGTGAGGAAAAGAAAAGCCAAATGAAAAAGACAATGAGAACAAAAACAAATCAAGTAGCTTTTTACTAGTGGTCCAGCCTGAAGAAAGTGGATAGGAGGGCAGCCTACTTTGTTTTTCTCATGATCTTCTTTTTTTCCCCTTTATTTTTCTGATGATGCCTCTAAAACACATATGCTGGCCCCAACCGGAGAACATGTATGCACTAGTAGTATCTGATTTCTTGAATTAACAAGGGTCAAATTAAAAAACTTTTACTGCATTCACCTAGAAGTAAAAGCTGCCTTTCACTTTGTGAAGGTAACAGCATATGATCAAGGCATACCTAAATATTATCTTACAACCAGTAAGACTGGCTCACAGGAGAAACTGTATTGCTGGGAGAATAAAATTCTCAATTTTTCGAGGAAAAATCGTGTCTGTCTGTATTTTTTTTTACCCAATTGTTAGCATAAGGAAGTACTACACTTCAATCGTAAAAATGTGGTAGTAGTATATACACGACACAACATGAGATGAATACTTCAGGTGTTGACATGCTTTGCCCGCCAGATACAGATTGTTTACGACTGTAGTACAAGCCACAGCTGCATCCGTGTGTGAGTCCCGGCAACATGGTAGCCTAGAGGGTTCGAGCACAACACAAAGGCACACTTTTCTTTTTTCCTTTGCCCACAAAGTAGTGTTATTGAAGTGGCCATCAGTGGTGTTTCGAGCTGTTGTCAGTGTTTTGTAATGCTAGATGTATATGGTTATGAAATATTCCGTAAAGAGGGGCTGTGTTAAGTCGACGCTTTGACAAGCAGATTTGTCTTCCTGGAGTCTAGAACAGAACTGATTTCTTTAGTGCTAGCATGTCTACGCTTGGTACCCTCTTCTCCATACTAACAAAGAAGAAGGAGAAGGGGCAACATTAGATACGCAGGTGTGAGAGAGAGAGGGAGGAAGGGGAGGCTGTGACCAATTGTATGAGTAAAAAAAGAACAGGTATTCCATGAATAAAAATAAAAAAAAGAAAGGAAATGATGAGGAGGTAAATTAGAAGTGTGGCAGCTTGGGCTAGTTGGTATGACATGACAATACTTATTACAAGATGTACATACGTCGCTGAGTCCCAGTTGTCAAACCGGTTATCAGAAGTTAACAATGGCAGGTTTGAGATTCCTAGATGGAGAGCTTAATTTACAGTGGTTTTCTTCGGGTATGAACCATAGCGAATTAATTCCAGAGCCCCTTTAAAAACATTTATATCTGCTGGCTGGAGTGCATGAACTTATGAATAAGGTACAACTCTGTATACCATTTTGTGTATATGATTAAGAACTCACACACAAAAATGTCAGGAAAACCTATAAAGAATGTTGTTAATAACAAATTTATTGTAATGTGAAGAAACAAATGTGGACAAAAAGATAACTTGCTGCTAGAAGGAACCATGTTTTCTGTCACTGGTTCACCAGTGGCAAGTTATTTTTCTGTTCACTTTTTTCTTTCTTCCCATTTTCATTACATTTACTGCAAATAACCATAGGTCAGCAAAATAATTGGAGCTCACTCAGACACACTCCATAAATATATTTTTTGCTTAGAAATCACTGGGACCCCAGCTAATCAAAATTTTCCCGAAGCAAACTCACTCAGACTCAGACTCGTGAATATTTTCCCTAACTGGACTCACTCGATCTCACACTCACCCACATTTTCTCAAGCGGACTCGCTCAGACTACGATTCACCAAAATATTGTGAGACTCGACGATATACTTCACGACCCACACGTTCACTACACACTCCGTACATCCTTTATTCTGCGCCCCACATATTTAACATGTCAGACTCCTCTCCCTCTGTACCCTCATCTCTTATCTACCGTATTCCCCCATGCACACGCGGTCCCTCTTCACAATGTTAAACCGACACACGTGCCATCTCGTTACTGCGCCATCAATCACACACAGCCTCCGAGAGACCCCCAGCCAACACAAGCGCAATCCCTACTCCTTCTCATCTCTCACAACTCTCCGCCCCTACAATTCATGAATCTATGGCGGAAGAGAGGAGTAATGGTTCGTGGTACAGCACCAATAGATCAGCATGTTTGATGGTTCGACAACATCCTGTTGCTGGGTCACTGATTATGAAGTTATCTTTCCTAGCCTGCTTGACCACACAAAAAGATCCATTCGTCACAGTGCCAACTTGGCTGAAACATCCTTGACCGCATTACTCAAGGTTTGAATGTCCAAGAGCACAAGGTCACCTACTTTAATGGTTGTTGCCTGTCGACGGCAATCATGACTTCCGAGCCTGCCAGGCAGCTGCTTTCTGCTTGACAGCATACCTAAATTCTTCTCCATTGCACTGCCTCAGTGATGGAAGAGACATTTTACTTTTTGGAGCAGATTCTGGAGGTGAAAAAAATGGTGCTTTTGAGCAGCCTCAACTGTTTCCGGAGCAGAAAAAATGCTGATTTGGAGCTGCTATTGGTGGTTTCGGAGCAGATGGCACAGTATTCCTAACAATTCCTGGAGTCTAAAACATCATTTAAGCATGTCATAAATATGACTAAGCACATGGATTGTCACTCAAAACTAAGACGAGCTACATATATTTAAAATGCGAGCACTTGTGGCATAAATAACATAAAAGTGATAAAGCTCAGCACCAAATTATAAAACTAGGCACAATCACATGAAACTATTGCCAAAGCAGCAGTTTGAAATCGGTACGAGATCAAAGGAATATGTAATATTCACACGTTTAAAAGATAACTAGCATTAAAAATTAAAAGAAATCCATTTGCATAAAATGCCAGTTTTTGTGGCATTAATGACAAAGCTGATATACAGTCGAACAAGGTTACATCAAGCCCACATATATCGAATTTTCAGCTATATTGAACTCATAAGTTATTCCCTTGAAGTTCCTTTGTTAAAGTATAGAAATTAGCACATTTATATCGAACGGAATTTTTACCCGCCTTCGGATATATCAAACACTGCGCAAGCTAGAAGGTGTGCTTCGGCACTCGCTGTGCCCCGCGACCTCTGCGGCAGCGGGACTCCACGCAGGAGTTGGAAGGCACGCTTTGGCACTCGCACGCCCGGGGACCTCCGTGCGGCACTATGCCTCCATCAAAGACTGAAACGCTCGAAAAAAGAAAGCGCCTACCACTTTAAAAATGGAAAGGGTACCTTTGGACTGTTGTATCAAAATAACACGTAAATAAGTAGCGGCGGCGTACTGAACCGAAATACTGCGAGGCAAGATGGCGCTGCTAATGCTATCATCATCATTAGACAGACGCATTTTTTGCAGCAAGAAGGATGGCTTGCTGCTGGTTTGCGCTGCTCGCTCCCTGTGGTATTGTTTTTTTCTCGTTGCTGTATTGTGGTTCACATCTCTGATTATCGCCAGGTGGCCTAACTGGCCTCAACTGGCAAAAACAACGTCAATAAAGTAAGGTTTGCCTCGTTTATTGCGAGTGTCCAAGCCGGCACAACTGATGTAAACAGTCAAGTCCGAACAAAACAAGTCACTCATACAAATTAAAGGCTTTCAACCCATGTGTAGACTCTTCAACAAGCATATGCATATTGTGACGACGTGGGATCGACGAGCACACAAAGCGCCTCAAACAAATACGCTTTATCGATAGCAGGAAAAAGACTGCAACGACTTCTTCGTCTTTTTCACTCGGTCAAGGACACTCGCGCTGCTTCATTCTTGCCACCACTGGCACATACGTGCGGCATTATTCCCCCTTTAAAAAAACATCGTCTTGATGTTAAACTTTCGAGAAGCAAGACGAAACCAAAACTGCACAGTTAGTCAGTAAAAATAATGTTTCATCCGAAGCACGTAGACAATTTCTGGTGAATGTCTGCGGCGCTTCGAACACTGCCGCCGTCCGGAACAACCTCGTAGTTGACGTCACTGATGCGTCGCAGAACCTTGTAGGGTCCGAAGTATCTTCCCAACAGCTTTTCAGAGAGCCCACGCTGACGAATAGGTCTGTGCCCAAGGTTGTAATGCTTGGCAGCGTCATCTTGTTGTTAGGTGATTCGCAACCTGGCAAGTTGTCTGGCTTCTTCTGTTAGCTGGGTGAACTCTTCGGCATCTGTCTCATTGCAATCAATTTCATGAAAGAGCATTGCGTCTAACGTTGTCGTAAACTTGCGTCCATAAAGGAGGCTGAACGGTGTCTTCCAAGTGGTCTCCTGACGAGCGGTGTTGTATTCGAACATGACGTAGGACAAAATGAC